AGCTCCTGCAAGCGTCTGCTCCCTGGTGGTCAGTGCACGTCATAGCAACTGGTCATTCCGCTGTTTGGTCGATTTGCATATTAGCCTTTTATTATATAGCATCGGTGTCTTTAAAACCCAGAGTTAAGAAGAGGCATGAAAGGGGTCTTGGCAGGGAGCCTAGCACGGTGCCAGGCACATGCGTGCCTACAACGCACTTTTTGTTGAATGAGTGGTGTTCTCTTAATTCCAGGAGACTATTAATCTGCTACTTATTAATGAGGTGTTCTGAACACAGATTTAAGCTGCATTTGGTCCAGCAACCAAAAGAGACTGTGGGTCTTAAAAAAAAAAGCATGGAGGAGAGACCCCTCTGTGTGTGGAGGGTGGGCGGCCCTCCCATCCCGGCCGGGCAGGAGCCGGCAGCTGTCTCCCGGCGCCTGCCGAGCTGGATGGCGGCCGTGAATACTTTCTTTCTTAGTGAAGCTCTTCTCTGTGTGTGCTGAATCACAGCATTCACGGGGGGAGTGGGGACAAGAGCATTACTAAGTGGATACCAGGCATCAGCTGGGGCAGGGGTGGGAGACCTGGCTGGGCCAAGGCTCGAGCAGGAAAGGAACGTGACACCGGCTCCTCCAACGGCGTCTCTACCACCCCCGTGGTGGGTGCTGGGGGGCCAGATGAACACTCAGACCACAGACCTCAGCAGGGGGTGGGGGGGTGAAGAGACAGGCCAGAAATAGGCTGAGCGTCTGGGGCGTCAGCTGGGATTTGCCCCTTCCAGCAAGTCAGGGCTCAAGCATTCTGTTTACCAAATACTCTGCACACATAGAAACCAGGACGGTCTGGCTCCACGTGAAAGGGGACGGGGAGGGTCTCTCCAGGGTGGATTTCGAGGTGTTGGAAGCTTCTCTGCCTGGTGATTTCACCCCGGCCTCGTGCCTGGGAAACGCACTCCAGCGGTCTCTTGCCAGGAGCCCTCATTTATCTGCCCAGCTGACTCCCTGGGCCCCGGGAAAGACAAGCAAAGTCATCAGCTGCTCCCTGTCCCTGGATGGGCATCTCCGCAGGCGTCTGTGGGGGCCGCTCACTGCCCCTGGACGGGCATGTCCACAGGCATTTGTGGGGGTCGCTCACTGCCCCTGGACGGGCATGTCCACAGGCATCTGTGAGGGCCACTCACTGCCCCTGGATGGGCATGTCCGAAGGCGTCTGTTAGGGGCTGGGATCCTCCCGCACTGACCATAAGGCTGCCTTCTGTCCCTCATCTCCCATTTGGTACAAAGGTCTTGTCTGACACAGACAATGTTCCAGAAGCAACAATTTTTTAAAATTTTTATATAGAATGGGGATGATTTAAAGCAGCTTTGGAAATTTCCTGTGAATTTTTTATTATGAAGATACAAAGAAAACCAGCAAACTAAAATGAACTCTCCCCTGTCTCTATCCCGAGTCTGCCCTCCTGGGGATGGGCCCCGGCCACAGCTGCACATGGGAGAGCAGGGACAAGACCAAATGAACGTTCCTCCAAATACCGTTATGATGACAAAATGAAAACCAGGCAAATAAGTCTCAGCAAATTGGCTTTGAGCAAATTGACCTGGAGCCCAAACTCTGGTGCTCAGATGGGGCTTAATAAATATTTGTTGACTGAATAGCAAATGTGTTTGACTGTTAGGTGATATCCAGACCCGAGGAGAAGCACTGCCCGGACTCTGTCCCCTGGCAGTGGGTTGAAGAGTCAGGAATGAAGTAGATCATCCATGAGCAGGCCCTCGAAGCTGCTCTGGAACGGAGCATGCGCCCTGCGCTGACATGTGTTCGGCAAGCGTGGAACAGACAGTGCCTTCAAAGGGCTTTCCACTCGGCCTGGACACCTCTGTGACACTGGGCAGTCCAAGACAACCAGTAGCACTGCCTCAGCATCCTCCCATAAGTGCAAGTCTCCTAACTTCTCACCAGGGCCAGGAAGCACGTGTTTCCCACAAGTCACAGGATCTGACCACAATACCTCCAGGAGAGGAGAGGCCCAGCTGGCTCGCTCCACCTCACAGGCAGCTGTTTTATTATTAGCAAATCTGGATGGACAGAGGATTCTGGCAGTTCTGCAGGTTTCCTGATGCTCAGACCCTCCTCCAGACCTTTGCAATACCAGCTGACCAGGAGAGGAGGGGCCTTGCCTTCTTGGCCCTTAACTACGGATCAACTTCACTGGAACCTTGATCACTAAAACCGCCAAACTTCCTCAAATCTGAGAAACCATCAACTGGTAAATGCCTCATGTTCCAGTAAAAAATAAAAGGTGCTGCCAATTAAACCTTGACATGCTATTAACTTTAAGATGCATCCTGATTTCAGAGATCTCAAAACAAGAAAAAATGTATTAGAATTGAAAAAATGCAATGTGTTTTCAGGATAACTGTGTTCTTGCTGGCTTTGAGGTAGGTCTTAATCCCTTATTCCCTAGCTTGTGGCCTGGTGCAAAGGACTTCATTTTGCTAAGGCTCTGTATACTTGTTAGTAGAACAGAAGAGTAATGCTTCCCTCATAAATTTTTAGAGGAGAAAAAAATAAAATGTTGAGCTTGATATCTAGTACATCACAGGTAGCTACGTAAGGTGCTCTAACAAGGCTTGTGGGGACAACACATTTTGTTATCTGCTGGTGCCCAGGTGGTTCTGAGCTGAACCAATCTATGAATTATTGAGACTGAAGTTTCCCAACAGACTATGACCAAGAGATCAACAACAGCAGTGAGGAAGGCAGTTTGGGCAAGAAGACACATTCAGTTGGGATGTAGGGACTTCCTGTTCCTAAAATGGAGGAGTGATTGAAGTAATTCTCTGGTCAATAGCAATGATAAGATCTGGACCAGGGGTCCTCAAACTACGGCCCGCGGGCCACATGCAAATACAAATATTGTATTTGTTCCCATTTTATTTTTTTACTTCAAAATAAGATATGTGCAGTGTGCATAGGAATTTGTTCATAGTTTTTTTTTAAACTATAGTCCGGCCCTCTAATGGTCTGAGGGTCAGTGAACTGGCCCCTGTTTAAAAAGTTTGAGGACCCCTGATCTGGACAATATACAAACACAAACTAATAGAAAGCACTTGAAAACAACCTAAAGCAATGGAAATTGGAGGAGACATGGTCCTTGGGAGATGGGAAGCACACTAGAGCACTGCCCAGTTTATGGTGAATCATGGGAGAACAGAACTAAAATGGAATGTAGCAGTATTATTGGCTGGGAAGACGGAAAGCGATTGGACATTGAGGATGAAAACTGAAGAGGAAAATGCCAGAAAGGAGAAAACCACAGAGAAAAAGCTCCAAAATTGCTATACAACCCCCCTCCAAATCCTTAGTTAACCCCTAAATTTTTTATGTGTAGACAGGACTCTAAGGAGCCCAAAAACTCCCCAAAGGAAGCAATAGCTGGGAGGCAGAGAATTCAACCCTGCCTGGAAGATAGAATTGGGAGTTCAAGTCTTGTCAAGTTAAAGGGGTTTAGCAAACACTTACGGCTTTTGATTTAATTCCAGAAAACCATGTCTTACAAATAAGTACAGGACTAAGGGTTATACCCTAGGGCTATGGGCAAAACCAAAACAAATCTATCTGAACAAAATCTAAAACCAACCTCTACAAGCTCAAGTGGATATGCCTGCTAGAACAAAACATAACATTCTTCATAGGAAAACAATAAAATAGTCTTTTCAATGTATCATCCAAAATGTCCACTATGCAATTAAAAAATATAGAGACACACAATCAAGAGAAATAATAGTCAATAAAACCAGACCCACTGATGAACCAGATGATGGATTTAGTAAATAAGAACTTTAAAATGGTTATTATATGCACAGGATTTTCAGTAAATGAAAGATAGAATAAATAAATGGTTAGAGAATCTCAGAAGAGAAAAGGGACCTATAAATAAACCTAGGTAAATTCTAGAAACAGCAGTAAATTCTAGAAATAAAATACCTGACATAAAACATATTTTGGATGAAATCAATAGTAGATTAGTACTGCAGAAGAAAAGATCAGCAAACTTGAAGACAGGTAATAGAAATGATCCAAACTGAAGAACAGAGTGAAAAAAGGGAAAAATAAATAAATACACGGAGCTTCAGTGACCAGTGGGACAATACCTAGTGTATAAATGGAATTCCAGAAAGAGAGGGGAGAGAGAATTGGGCAGAAGAAATATCTGAAGGAATAATGACCAAAAATTACCCCCACATTCCCAAATTCAGTAAGAAACATCAGCCCATCGATCTAAGATGCTCAGTGAAGGCTACATATAATAAATACAAAGAAAACCACATCTAGTCACACCACCGTCAAACTGCTTACAGTCAAAGATAAAGAGAAATCTTAAAAGAAGTCAGAGAGAAAAAGACTATGTACACAGGAACAACAATAAAGAAGAAAACTGACTTCTGATCAGAAACAATGTAGGCCAGAAGGCATTTAAAAAGTTCTAAGTGGGGAGGAGGTCAATTTGGGATACCTGAAGCTTGAAATGCTGGTGAGACTCTGAGGTTGCAAAGTACAACAAAGGTCTCCTCCCAAGCACTCCCTGATAACACACATTATCCATGCATTTCCCCCAACACACTCCTACCACACACACAGTGCCTCAGTTCAACATCTCAACATTCCCAATAGAAAAAAAAGTATAGCTGTCAGGAAGGTGAAAATACATGAAATCATTTATACAAACTGAGAGACATAATTAAGGTTCTTTGTATTGTGCCACCATGTAAACAATACATATGTTTTCATCCTGATAAAAACTCTAGTAAGAAAAATGAAGATCTTCTCCTCCTTAAATGCTTTAGTCACATGACGTTTTGGTCCAATAGGCTGGCGGAAATGTGGGAATAGTGCTCCTAGAGGAGGTCAGGGGAATCCAAGATCCAGGAGCCATCAAGGTAGAAACCTGGCAAATGTGCTGCGTAAGTGTGGGAGGAGCTTGGAGCAGCAGCAGCACGCAGTTTCCTGAGCAACTGCTGAATGCTGAATGCCAGGCATTGTGCTAAGTGCTTCAGGTGCATTATCTTAATCCTCACACCACCCCTGAGGAGTATTATCATTCCCTTTTTTAAAATGAAGAAACAAAGTTTGAAAGGGAATCAGAAAGTTGCCAGGTTAGTCACAGAGTTGGGATTTGAGCCCAGGTCTGTTAGACTCTAAGCCACAGCTATTCACCCTCCCGCAGTCAGCCGTTCATGTGTTCATCCCACTGGACTGGGCTGGACAAAAGAAGAGCTCTACATGGCTACGCCCCCAGTGCTCAGGGAACCCACAGCCAAGGAGGCAATAAAGGTTACTATAGCCAGCACTTATTGAGCACTTACTATGGACTAGCCATTGTGTGTGACACTTAATGTGTCCCATCGTATTTAATTTTCACAGCAGTCCTATGTGGTAAATCCTTGTATCGTCTCCATTTTACAGGTGAGCAAAGGGAGGCTCCGGTTGGACTAGGATTTGACTCCACGGCTCGGGCTCCTCAGCAGCATAAACTGCCCAAGGCACCAAAGGGGCAGGGGCCATGCAAAGACGGACAGGGCAAGGCCACCTGGAGCTCCTCCCCCGCTTGATGAGATCCTAGGAACGTGGACTTGAGAAAGCAAGTTTGTTTTCAAGGGACTTCGGCTGCATCTGTTCCAGAGAGAGGGAATGTCCAGGGAATTCCCCCTCCTCACCGACCCGACCTGGTGAGTCCAACTGCTTCTCTTACCAGCGTGGCTGCAACCATCTCCCCAGCTCTGGATGACTTGTCTGCCACTCCCATCAATCCAGGCTGCACGCAACCATCACTGGGGCTTTTAAAAGTAGCAGCAAGTTGGAACACTGCCATGCTTAAAGTCTCTCAGTGGCTCCCGAGCTTCCCTGGGATAAAGCCCCACCTCTCTCCCGAGGCCTCATGCTCTGCCCTGCTCCCCTTCTCTCCTCAGCCAAGCGCACTTTTCAGCTCCTCGAACTCCCTGCGCTGCTCCTGCCTCAGGGTCTGCTCCAGTTACTGCTGCTGTAACAAGCTCCCACCCAAACTTAGCAGCCTACAGCTACCGTTTTCTTATCGCCACGGATTCTTCAGTCAGGACTTCAGATATGGAACAGTGGAGTGCCTTATCTTTGCTGATGTCTGGGGCCTCAGCAGGAAGACTCTCTAGCGAGGGTGACTCGATGGGCAGGAGCTGAATCGCTGAGAGGCATCTTTCCTCACACGTCCGGGGTGGGTGCTGGCTGGACCTATGCCATGGACGGCCTCTGCGTGCCTCCTTCCGGGCAGCGGGGCTTCTCAGGCTCCAGCCTGGCTCGAGGCTCCAAAACAGTGTCCCAGTGAACAAGGCAGAAGCTGCACTGCCTGTTCTCCCCCAGCCTTAAGTCCAGGAGTATCACTTCCATTGCATTCTATTGGCTACAAGCAAGTCCGGAACCACCCGATTCAACGGAGAGGGCAGAGCCCTGCCCCTCCAAGGTCTCATGTGGACCAGGAGATACCACTGGGGCTATCTCTCTGAAAAAGCAATCTACCACACGGCCTTTACACACTATTGCCTTGCCCAGACCAACATCTTCTCTCCAACCTCCCTACCTGCTAATTCTCACCAGCGTCCAGGTTTCAGCTGAAGCACCTCTTTCTAAGGAGCCTGCCTTGACTGCCCCACCCAGGCTTAGTCAGGCCTCCGGCTTACATTTGCCCTTAGCGCCCAGCACTTCTCATGTACCCCAGTCAGTCTGTCTGTCTCCCCTCCTGACTGTGAGCTCTATGAGGACAGGGACTTTCGCTTCCTGGTGTTGGCTCAGAGCGGTTCCACACCCTGGAGAAGAGAGACAGACATCCTGGAGAAGAGAGAGGAGGAGGAAGGGGGAAAGAAGGTTATATGCCAGCCTCCAGCTGCCAAGGCTGTAGCTCAAAAAGAAATCCACTGGGTGCCCTGTGCTCCTGCTGACCTCGAGCCCCCGGCCTGCCACAGCCTCACCACCAGCGGCATGACCACCGCCCCACCGGGCCCCTCCAGGCCTTCTGGGGATCCACAGAATGGATGGGCATCTTCACCCCCAATCCAGCTGTCTGGCTGATGCTGTGGCCTATAACATACTGGGGTCTTTTGCAAAGACCCACCTTCTAAAAAGGGATGGACCGACAAAGGGTGAAAGGAGACCGTCCGAGCATGTGAAGGAGGCTGAGGCAGGAAGAGACATTTACTCCCTGCAGGGACAGAAGTCGGGTCCTGAGGAGGGGAGGGTCATGATGGACCTGTCTGCCCAGGGACCAAGAACATGATTCATTGTGCTTAGGAGTGGGGAGAACTCCATTAAAATTTCTCTCCCAATTTGTACCCAAACATCAGCACTACCACCATCTTCATCACTAATTTTTTTTAAAGTAAAGAAGAGTCACCATGGGTATCTTGCATGGCTGTTGTCCAGGCAGAGGGGTGCACTGTGCCCGGGGGCCCCTTCCCAACCTGCCCCGCCCCCCTCCTGGAGAACCGCTCACTTGTGGGCCCAGTGCTGTCTCCTTTCTTGCTCGGACTTACAAGCTGCACCTTGATGACGACTGTGCTGAGGACTCGATGGTCCCGCATTATTTCTTCCTTGAAAAGCCTGACTGGGGGGGTGGGGGAGGGGTCACAGTAACCCACCTGATCCCAGAGTCTGAGTTCAGTCCACTGGGGCATCCTTGCCCTGTGCCAAGCCCTTTCGCGAGTGACCTCACAGAACGCTCGCCGCAGCCCTTGGAGGTGGATTACTAGTTTTTGCTCATTTGCTGATGCATGAATGGGACACCCAGAGAGGTGACTAAATCAAGGCCACTCAGGTGGGAAGTGACAGTGCTTCTCCAGTGCTCCTCACCCCAGCTGCGGTGTCCCCTGGTCCTAGGCTCCCGCCTCCCTCCCGCTAACTTTCCCAGCTCAGATGCTACTGGCTGCTGTGCAGACAGCCTTGGCTCCCTTCCCCAGGGTTCCGAGAGGGGACTGAAGTCCAGGAAGGCCATCGGCAGGGCTGCCCTGCTGCCCCCCTGGGGACAGGGACTTCCGGGGAGCCCCAGCTCCCTGCAGCACGCACACTGTTGCCTACACAGCTGGAGCAGCTCTCAGCCCATTACCTGAGTTGGAGGGGAAGCTGTCTGCTCTGCAGAGCAAACCGGGAGCTGCCTAGGGTTTGGGGAGCAGGCGGGCCAGGGAGCAGAGCCGGGCCAGGCTGCC